CTATTTAATGTCCCAGCCAATTAGCAGTATTTACCATGCTAGGCATAATGCCTCTAAACAAAGCATGTAAGGTTCTGTTCTCCCACTTGTTTTACAAAAAGAGCCTCATTGCATGGATTCTCTGTGCATGGAACTATCTGAGAGTCAATGAACCCTGCTGCACCCAGAAGTTTAACCTAAAGAGGGTATATTGACATTTATAAATGTCCTTTCACAAAATTAAATGAATTAGCAGCTTAAAGTCAGGGGTAGTACACCAAACAGGCAGAAAGTTACTTAATTTGAACTTTTCTTATAATTGACCACTACTTGTTACTTCCTAGCTTTGCAGTGGGTGGTTTTTTTTTCTTTTTTGGGGGATGGGGAAGGGGGGTTAGATGGAAGTCACAGTATGACTGTGATCAGGATTGGCTCACTGACCTTTGGGAGCAAACAAATCTTGTGTTAAATACTGCCTGCCATGATGGAGCTGAAAGCAACATTCTCTGAGATTTTAATACCATTTTTCTCATTGACTCTGCATTTACGCAAGTTTTCAGTAACACTCATTCTCAATGACGGCCTTGTTATATCAATAATTAGACCTGAAGAGGCAGAAAAGCTCCAGAACATTCCAGACATGTAGGATACATGACTTATTGTCAGATTATGTAAAGGAAATTAACAGACTCTGGCCGAGTGTCTTGTATTATATTATACACAAAATAGGCAGCTTCTTGATAACTTTGCTGGCCAGTTATGAAAAAAACAGGTCTTCTCTGAGTTGTGTGTGCTTCCTAAGCACATGTTTCCTCTTTTGCTTGTGCTCAGCTTCTTATTTTATTTTTTCTTTTGTTTCTAAATCATATTAGTATAGGCATCCAACTAACTATATTTAAATGTCTTTGCCATTGCAGTATCTAAGTGAAATGTTAATTTTTTACCTTCTTTAATGACAAATTTCTATTTCTGTTGATATCATCTCCTTTTCAGCACAATAGTTCTTATTCTTTTATTTTGCTTTATCTCATTCCAATTTCCCATTCACCTTAATTAATTGTATGATTGAATTTGCATCTTTTTTGTTGCTATGGGATTGACAAGGAAGTCTCTACTGACAGAGATTGATACTAGGCTATATTCAAGCCCCTCAAAATTGCCCATCTCTTCAGTTTAACATCATTGTTCCCTAAGGTCAGACTATTCAGGAACATCTAAGCTATCACCAGTGTAAAGTATGATAACTTAGAAGAAATTTTAGACAATTTGAATTTAATTATTAGCCTATGTCCACTCCATTCTTGTACTCTTGGCTCATCTTAGCACCTCTGAACAGAGGTACTTTGGTCTGAGCCAGAATTCAAAGTATATTGCAGGCCAAAAGGACTGGAGTGCCATATTTAAACTGGAACAAGCATTCATGCAAATATTGATATATCCCTGGCAAGCTGTCCATCTGAATGCACAGTATCATCATTGATCCAAATTATGCCATTTGTGTGAATGACCTTCCTGTTTGTATACCTGGCCTTCCATTATGACTTCATGAGGACAGTTCTTCACTCAAAACTCTTATCTCGCATCCTTTGGGCATGAAATAGTTGATTTCTTCTGCAGGATATTTTTGCTCTGAGATCAGTTTCTGCAGCAAGGAACACTCTTGTTCTTTAATTTCTCAGCTATTAAAATTGAAAAAATTGCCTGGACAAACTTTGTTTGCTACTTACTAAGTGTACAATTTGGACTATCCCTAAATAATATTCTCTATTATTCTCATGACAGCTCGATTATTAGTACAGTGTATTTCACAAGTTGCAAATGGACACAAATCAGGTGGAAGTCTCCTGTGATTTTAACATATTTTGATATCTGCTGTGGAGTTGGGTTTTCTCTTCTGCTGATCTCTGTGAGATGTTAACTGTGTTTTCTATTTGGTTGCAATTTGTACTACTTCAACATCATACTACTCAGAATCTTACAAACATATTTGTTGTTAGCAAATGTCTTTTGATAATGTTGTAAAAATCCTGTTTTGTCCTCAATAGGTAGAAATTCTTCAGAAAGACAGAATATGGGTGACCATAATTGGAGTGATTGCATATATGCTGAATATACAAACTGATTTTCTCTCTCAAGGAGGCTAAGAAAATAATTGTGTTTTCTGCTTTTATTTCTTTTAAGCAGACTGAGTGCCCATGAAATATTTAAAATTGAGATCTAACATAACTAAGTATTTGTAAATAACATTAAATCAATGCTAGCTGTATTAATACGTCATTGGTTAATACTGAAAGTGAAGTAGGGACCAAAAAGCCAGAGGCAGATTGCTTTCAAATATTAAAATGCCTGTTGATGCACACCATGGAGAAATTTATTGCTATTCAACTTCATTACTTTAAATTTTACTTAAGAAAAAAGACATTTAAAAGGCTATTTTGGGATTGGTAGAGATAGGTTTATGCAATATATTACTGCACTAGGAAAATATTTGTAATATAATGATATGAAAAAAGATCTCCTGGAGAGCAAATGGAGTGTCTGAACTGTTCTTTCTGCCTATTTTCCTTGCTAGTCTTTCTTTCCTGCTACTCTGACTTTCCTCTTAAAATCCAGTCGACTTGATTCCACCTAAAGCACATCTATTGTACTATGCAGCCTTGAGAATGGTTCCAGTCTTTGTTGCTGAGGTTATTGATAGGGAACTAGAAGCTGGAATTCAAGAAAAAGAAGAAAAATGAGCAAAACATGGCTGGCTGTCAGTTATGACAAAGTCAGGAATTGCCAGTATACTTAGTAGAATAAAATCTTAAAATAAGCAGAATGAAAGACTTCATGTTTCATGAAACACTAAGAATTTATGGATAGTCACACTTATGTTTTACCATATAATCGCCCATGTTATCAAATTAAAAAGGGAAAATATCATTAGCAATGCAACAATTTTTTTCTTATAAAAAATTCTGAAATATGACTTGTCTTTGTTACCATATTTGCCATTCCAGTACTCATCTCAGTCCTGAGTTTGTCTTCCTGAGGAGTGGAGATGGTGGCAGCAAGTCCTCACCACTCTGAGGTGCTCAGAGGTGTGGGGGAAGGTCACGCTTCCCAGTGGGGCCATTCCAGAGCTGAAACAGGAGCAAGGGAGCCAGCAGTCACTGGCACTGGTGCAGTACTTAAACCAGTGACACCCAGCTCAGGCCTTGGTGAGGCTGAGCTCCAGCACTGATGGGACAGAACACAGCTGGGGGCTTCTGCTGGGAGTAGCAGGGATAATACTTCCTCGTCTATATACTCTCTGCAGGTCCCGCAGTATCAGGGAAACCCTGGAGTGATGCTGCCTTTGGGATGAGTTTTCTTTCTCCTAACATGTTCTCTGAATGTGAATTCATTTTTGGCTAATAGACAATTTTGTTTTCTGTTTGTTTGGGGTTTTTGTTTTTTGTTTGTTTGTTTTGTTTTGTTTTTTGTTTTGTTTTTTGTTAACCTGGATATTTCTGGTCATGTTGTGTCCTGGTTTTATTCACAGTAGCCAGTATGAGGATGTGTTTTGGATTTGTGTTAGAAACAGGGTTGATAACACAGGGTTGTTTTCATTATTGCCAAGCAGTGCTTGCACAGTTCAAGGCCTTTTCTGCTCCCTACTCCACCCTACCAGCAAGGGGCTGGGAGTGCACAAGGAGCTGGGAGAGCACCCAGCCTGGACAGGTGACCCCAGCTACCAAAGGAATATTCCATATCCTAGACATGGTGCCATGATCAGTGTATAAAGAAGTACATAAAGCAGTGGGAAGAAGGAGGAAGCAGGAGGACATGTGGAGTGACACCATTTATCTTCCCAAGTCACCACTATATATGATGGAGCTCTGCTTTCCTGGGGATGGCTGAGCACCAGCCCTCCCACAAGAAGCTCAGTTGAAAAGGACTTTCACTATCACCCTTAGTAAATCCTGACAGTACATTTACAGCTCATGGTTCTACCTTTGGCTGTTGTTGCACTGTGTGTACCTCATAACCTATAAATTCCAGCCTTGTACTACTACTGTTCACCACCTTACAAAGCTGTTTACCCAGCAACTTATCTTTCACTTCTGTGCAAGACTCTAAGGCCTAAAGAAGGAAAAGAAAATACCATTAAAAATATAAAAATATTGAAAATGCATTTCCTATATTTCTTGTTTTAGTCTGTGGCACTGTTACTATGAATATTATTAGATATCTATAGTGTCAGATACTAATATTCATAAAAGCATGAAAAACTACCACCTTTCCTCATGTACTTATTAAAATCACAACTAGAAGATAGAAGCATAACTTGCAGATCTAATTTGCAGTGGAAAATAATTGTCTTCAAGTTGGGGAGTCTGTCTGCAGTTAGTGGAACAGAAGTGTAAACATACCTTGGCTAATTGGCTAGTAAGTTATACAGGCTAAAGGTTTCCTGGCATGTAGCAGGCTGTGTAAATTTAGACTACACAATGTATAAAAATACACCACTGAAGGTAACAAAGTGGTACTGGTCTATTAAAATACTGGCAAGTGGCAGAAGGGAACAGAGGATGCATAGATAAGAGAATGACTCTGGGTGATGAGATAAGGTAACTTTTACCTCTCACAGTGCCAGTGGATTCATGCTATTCACACATACAGGATTCAGGATTTTGCTCTATTTTTGAGACAGAGCTGTTTAATATCTTTATCCATGGTCTGAGTGAGGGTTCAAGTGCCTGCTCAATGAGAACAAGTCCTATAAGGAGTGACTGAGGGAGCTGAGGGTATTTAGGCTGGAGAAAAGAATTCTCAGGTGTGACCTTAATGTTCTCTACAATTGCCTGAAAGGAGGTTGTAGGCAGGGGGGAGTCAGGCAGACAGCCAATGACAGGACAAGAAGAAATGGCCTCAAGCTGCGTGACAGAAGGTTCAAGCAGGACATCAGGAAGAATTTCTTCATTGAGCAGGTGGTCAGTCCTTGGAATGAGTTGCCCAGGGAAGTGGTGGAGTCACTCTCCCTGGAGGCATTCAAGAAACAACTGGACATGGCACTCAGTGCTATGGTTTCATTGACATGGTGGTGTTCAGGCAAAGGTTGGACTTGATCTTTGAGGGGTTTTATAACCTTTATGATTCTGATACGACTCTTGTTGTGGACTTCTGGCCAAACTTACTGCTCAACTTCAGAAAGGCTAATAATTCTTTCTCAACTTCAGAAAGGTTAATAACTTCATTTCAGACCAGAGTTGTAATGTTATTCTTGCTAGAGAATGTTCTTTTCTTGGTATAAGTAGGCACACCTAATGTTTCGTTTTGTTTTAAAATGAACAATACAAGGTTTCAGTGCTTTTGTTGTATTCCTCTGGAATCCACATTATTTTTATTTTAAATTTTCTAAACCTTACACTTTACATTATTTAGCAACATTTCTGTCATTTTTAAGACTTATGGTTCAATTTACAGCTGCTAGGATTTTCCATAACTTTCCTGACCAGTCAGTCATTTTTCTCTCAAAACTAAAATTTTCATATAGATTGCTTATGATTTGGGGTTTGGTTTCTCTAAAGGGGTAAAAGGGAGGGAGAGAAAAATTTAAACAATGCCTTTCAAAAATATTGAGAGCACATGGATTTGTACAATGTCACCATGTTACATGGTGAGCTTTCTCAGTGCAGAACTGGAAATGCACCCTCTTGGTTTCCATCTTCTATTGCAATGAATTCCTTTAAAATTAACAGATTTGCTTTTATGGAAATGTGGCTATGCAAGTATTTGTCTGATAAAGTACTTAATTGATGTTATAGGTGTTTAAAATGCATTTATTTTGCTAATTTTAGTGTTACATGTAAGGCATCCTCCCCCACAGTGGTTGCATTACTAAAAATTAGGTAGAAGATGCTTTTCTATTGAGTCTGATGTGACCTGAGTAGTTGTTGTTAACCTCAGAAGTCTGTAGAGCTTCTAATTGATCAATTTTTTTTGTAGGGTGAGATGGGTGTGAAAGGACCAGACGGTGTTGCAGGTCTGCCTGGTGAAAAGGTATGTTTGTGTTTGTTGAGTTGTGATTTAACTCATGGGAAGTGTTCACTATGTCAGTGGCTTCTCTGCAGTTGTGTACAGAAATGGGAGGATAGAACATGTCTGTTAGAACCTTAATGTCTTACCTGCACGGCCGTGTTTTTGTAGCACACTGAAAAAGCTGTTCAGATCAATAGTATTCTCTGCAGATGTGCATGTTTGGTGGGGTTTTTCCCAAGAGGGGGTTATACACAGAGCTAAAGGAAACTACTTGTTCCACCTGCTCAATTTGTGGTCTGCAAGCTTAGATAAGAGCTCTTGTGCACTCAGCTGTAAGCTTGGTAGAGCTTGAGATAAACACCACTCACTTCTTAATCAAGAATAGTCATGGCTAAGAAGGCATGCCAGCCTACTGGTGTATTCAAGGATAAGATTCACTTAATTTCAGAATATTAGTGTACCAAATAAGACAATTGTATGCACTTATTGGGTTTGGTGCTACTTACCTGTATTAGACGAAGTTATAAGTCTAACATCTAGAATCTTCAGTATAGAGACAACCCTCATAACACTGAGGAAACAGCTTGTTGTTGTCAGGCTTAAAATCCATTAAAATCTGGATTTACATGACATAAAACTGTGAATTTGTCTTTTATTTTTACTTACTATTTCTGTCTCAAATTGTGGGTTTTTTTTAAAAAAATGGGAAGATGTATATTAGCAAAGTTAAGAGTAAAAATCAGGGTATTTGTTGCTGATGTTAAGTTATATTGGTAGGCAAATGGAGAACAGGCTGCAAAGATGTTCAAAGGAATTTGCAACATTGAAGAACTGAATTGCCAAGTGGTATGTAAAATTCAGAGAAAGCAATAGGCAAGTGATGCAGATGAAGAGGAAAACAAAAGAAGCATTATGCATTTCATGCCAGACTGGACTATCTATTACTGTTCAGGAAGTGATTTGGAATTACAGAGCAAGGAAAACATGGACTCACTGTTTGGCACTAGTCAAATTACTAGGAAGAGAATAGAGAACAAAGCAAAAGACTTTTAATACCACCATTTTATACAGTTCCGGTTCTCACATCTCAGTGTGAATCTTATAACACCAGAAAAGATTCAGAGGTGTCAAGAGTGATGAAGAGTGCCAGACATCTTCCAATTTAAGTGTGACAATGTGGACTTCAATCTGAAAAAGGCACAATTAAGAAAAAACCTATCATGTTCTGTTCTCTGTACAGTCCTGAATGGAGCAGAAAATATTAATAGGGATTTATTTATTTATTTTATTCTTCATTGTGTGAATTAGACCTATCTGATAGCAGGTTCAAAAAGGATAGAAAGAAAAGATAGGCTCATTCTTCCTGCTCCAATATTACAGTTTGAACACTACTACAGAACTTGAAAAGTCTGAAAATGTATTAGAAAATTAGTGAAGTAAAATTCCACTGAGTGTGTCAGTCTGCTTGTACTTCAAGAAGCTGGAATCTGGGAAAGCCACAGGAGGAGTCTTTATGGCTGCCCTGTTATATTTTTCTGTAGACCTGTGTTGTTGCCATAATTGTAGTCCTGTAATTGATTGGAGAAACTTTTGTTTTGATCCAGATAGACAGTGTTTTACTTTACCGTGCTCCTAGATGTGAATTAATGGAAAGAGTTATTGTAAAGTGTTGTAGATTGAGATTGATCTAGAATGAAGCTGTGTTTTCCCTTGGCTCTTTCCATAGCTCCTACTCTGATGTTATCTTGCTATAAACTTACCAGGCTATGTTACGTTTCCAGTCCAAGTTATTATTATTACAGTTTCCATGGTTAATATTGTTTGGGTTTTTTTGCTAAGCGCCTTGCAAATTCATTGTCAGGCCAAATCCCAAAGCTCCTGTTAGTTTACATGAAGCTCAACAGTCAGATCTTATTTAATATCCAGACATTGTACTTTTTCTGAACATTACAAGTCTTTCAATTCAGCCTATATAAAATACGAATTCCAAATGAACTGCAAATTAAAAATGAACTACCATGAAATACAAAGCTGTCAAAGCTTAAAACTTCTAAAATAAAAAAAAAAGAAAGCCAAGTATTTTGTACATGCATAGCTAGATGAAGAAGCTGAGACCCAGCTATCCAGGTTCTGCTCGCCAGAGTAGTCATGCTTGTGTGGAGTAGTGCAGTGCTGTGTACATTAGCTCCTTTCTGCAGCTAGAATTAATATTTTCCTCATGTTGTAAAGGTGCTAACATGTTCTCTCCCAGGTGATGCATCAAGAAACAAGAATATATACATTTGTAGAATCTTTTATTTTTGTGCTCCCTGAAGTGTCGTGTTCCAGATGCTGACATTGTACATAGAGTTAAAGATAATGAAGTGGGGAAGCAGCACCAAACCTGTCTGAGTTGAGGAAGCATTTGGACAAAACACCCCCAGGTGCAGGGTGGCATTCTTGGAGTGTTCTGTGCAAGGCCAGGAATTGGACTTGAAGATTCTGATGAGTCCCTTGCAACTCAGCATATTCTATGATAAAAATACCCTAAGTGCTGTTGTTTGCAAAGGCATCTCCTACATTTCAGGGTGTTGAGGTGCAGACTGTGCAGTGCTAGGAGGGCATTCTGAGGAGCTACTGCTGTTTATGTATATCAAATACTTCAGCATGTTATCTATTGTTGGAGATGTTAAATTGCTTAGTATGGATTTTCTTATGTTTTTGCACTGTGTATTTCTGAGCTTTGCACAGGTATGCCCCTGAGTCAATAGCTAGAAACAAGAAGAAGGAAAAATAAATTATACTTTTTAAAAATTTAAGTGAAGATTGAGGCTTCAGAGAACAGAGATGCTTTTGATAATACTCCTAAAACCTATCCACTGCAGTATTCCTTTGCTTATACTTCATTCCCTGGGAAAAGGTACTGAAGCAATAGATTTTACTCATGTTTTTATGCACAAGCAACAATATCAATTCATTTGACCTATTTTAGATGTTTACCGTAGAATGAGATAAACTTGGCTGTTGAAAATCCTGTTTCTTTAGACTGATTATCTCAAATATACCTGATATAGTGAACACAAAACTTAGAATAATACTATACAATGGACTTTATTACTTCAGAGAATCTTAACAGGAGAATCTCCCAGAATGGTGCTTGATGCTCATATCCTTAATTTTCAAGATGTGGGTGAATGGTGAGACATCTGTGAGTCTTTATATATGGCTTTGACTTTCAAAGATCTTAAGTCTGAAAATTGTTCAGTCTGTCTTCATATGTGACACTTTGCCTTCTGTCACTTTCAAGACATACTGTCACTGACAACGTGATTTCCCATTCACTAAATGCTGCAGTGGTTTTGCCACAGTCTGCTGGCTGATAGGTGCACAAGTAAGTGGTGTAGACTTCTAGGAGGCTCTTGCCAGTTAATAGGTTGGATCTGCTGAAGGCTAATACAGAGAACAGAGTTTAAGGCTTGGTGACTCTAGGGTAACATAAGAATAGCCTTAACACCCTAAAGAAACCAGAGGAATGTTCTGGCCACAATTCAGCAGTTTTGTGGATTTTTCTGATGCAGTTCTTGTAAGCTGCCAATGTAAAAAATGAGGTTTTCATCGACTGGTGGCACACCACAAGATGCCTGTTGTCTCATCTGCCTTTGGGTTAAAAGAGGTCAGTGTCATGGTGCTTATGACCAATCTACAGAGTCAGGAATCTAACACAGACACTGCAGAGCCCTACCTCAGGCCCCAAAGTCACAACACAGTAGATAGCACCATTACATATGTGACTGTCTATTTAATGTCCATCTATCTAGTTTCTTCTCCCCATCCTTTCTCAGGACACTGTCTTAAGAGATTTTTCTTTTAAATAGTAAAACCTACTTGGGGCAACAGGATAAACTCTTGAGATTATCTGAGGAAATAGTTCTGAGGCATTTGTTTATAATTTTAAAATCAGAGGGTAGTAGTCTTCCCTTGGAGGGAAATTTGCTTCCTTTGTAGACTATCAGAAGAGATGGAATACAGTGGCACGATCCCTTTCCTGCAATCAGGACTGATTTGTTGCTCAGCCTTCTAGGCACTCTTCTTCAATGTATCTGTCAAACTATGATACAAGAACAACTGGAAGTTGTGGTTAAGCAGACTCCCTATATATATATGAGACCTTAGGCTCTGTCGTTCTGGCAATGTTCAGCAAAGGCTGTGAGTACAGAAGAAATGTGTTGAAAAAGCACTGTGTTAGCCTACTTTTTGGTGATCAGCAAGTGAAACTGCCTCTGGATACACTTCTAAAGCCATTTAATGTAATGGGATTGTAGCCAGAGTGCTAGTTATGGCATGAGAAATTAAATCTGTCCCTGAAGTGGAGGTTTGAGGTGACTGGACTGCTTTAAGATATAATATGACAGTCACCTATCTGCTCCAGAAATCAACTAATCCTGATCTAGCAGTGAGACTCATTATGGCAACAAAAACGGATTGCTCAGCCATTAAGAATGGCCTTTACCTATCTCTGCTGTGTACAGGGTCACATCACTGGTGTAACCCGAGCAAGGTCAATACATCACTATAAAGTATTTTTTATAGAGTTTAATGATTTTTCTAGTGTTCCTGTACTACTGAAATGGAGAGGAAGCACTTTTGTTGGTGTGACTCACAGGCTTCTCCCTAACTGAAGTCATAATGTCATCTTACTTCCATACAAGTTGAATGTGTGCAGGTCCTTTCCATAGCACCCACTGGGGGATTGTTACAGACCTCCGTGACGTGTGTTTTGTGTTGGGTCTCTGCACAAAGTATATCATGTGATGGATCCTTCCACTACTTACAGGGGGGCTTATAAAAAAAGAGAGAGCTACCTTTTACAAGGGCAGATAACGATAGAACAAGGGGGGATGGGTTTAAACTGAAATATGAGAGTTCTAGATAGCATGTCAGGAAGAAATTCTTTACTCAGAGGGTGACAAGGCACTGGAACAGGTTGCCCAGAGAAGCTGTAAATGCCCCATTCCTGGAAGTGTTAAAGGTCAGGTTGCATG